TTGGGGTCTGTTTGCTCTGTTTTGTGTTGCTGCTTTTGGTGTCGGTTTTTTGGTTGTTTCGGTGAGCTTTGCTTCTGGTCTCAAGACCAGAAGGCTATCAGAAGGGATCTGACCCTGAGATCTCATAGGATCTTCTTTGCTTGATTCTTTCTTGGTTGATTGCGTGTTTGTTGATGGTCGAAGTTGGCTTTTGTTGGATCTGGAGTTTTGCTTGGGATGGACTTGGTTTACCTCTAGATTGATAGCATTGAGATCATCTTTGAGGACAAGAGTATGGATCTTAGTTGATGTCTGATCCTCAATTGCTCAAAGAAAACGAACAGAAGAAAAGAAGATAGAAGAAGACAGGAGGTAGCGCTTTGCGACCCAAGAAGGGGTGTGAAACATAGCGTGCAGCGCGCGTGTACAGTGTATGGCTCACCTAGTGCTTGCTTCTTTAGGGTTTTTTCGTTTTCAAAGTGCTTGGGGTTGGAGCTGAGTGGAGAACTTTGTCCTTTTGATGTTTGACCTTCGACCACCTTAGCAGGAGGATGTTTGAAGTGGCAACTTGTGGCTAGGATTGCTTAGAGAACCTTGTGGTAGAGCACGATGTCTTTGGAAAATGTTTGAGATAGTTCTTTGTCGTTTTGTGTAGCTTTGAGATGACTATGAATAGTCTTTGACTCTTTTGAGGAGTGGACAAGCTTAAGAGAAGCTTTGAGAACTTTTGAGACAGTCTCCACCGACTGTGACTTTGGCTCAAGGAGCGGGATCGCAAAGGGAAGCTTGTGCTGCCGTGTTTTCACACATGGAGCACAGCTTGACTCATCCGCGGATGACATTGAGCCCACTCCCCGAAGAGTGACCAGTCGGTGTGCCTTGGCACCCCCCACTCGGCGTGTTGACATGGGGCAGCTTCTCATGCCCGACCCTCGTTTGTCTGTGCGGACATTTGGGCAATCGTGCGGTGTCTCCGGATGCTCCGGGACCACGTTGTGCGGGACCTCACCTTGGCATGGAGAGCACAAAACGTGTTGCAGCGAACCTTGCCCACAAGAACTTCCCACACAGCTTTGCTCTGGCGGTCCAAGCTCTGGAGTTCGCTGCGTTGTGTTGTTCCATTTCACGTGTCCTGTCTTTTCTTTTTGGAATGATCAGGTCGGTTGCAATCTGAAAACATCCATGGCAACCAACATGCACAAGCAACAGAACTGGTGAAGACCTTATAAGTTGTTGTGCCGCATCGTTTCTGTGGACAGCACCCCATCAACCACATCTGGCGCGTTTTGCATGTCGCATTTGTTGAGCAGGACAGACAGATGCCGCCCAACTGGACTTGGCAAATCACTTGACGCTCACAAGTTTGTCGCGATGTGCGCTTCTCAATGACTGTCCACTTTGCCGTCCCTCGGATGTTGGAGCCGACATTCCAGGAACTGCGCCAAGCTCAGCTGCTTCCTTTGCAATTCATACACCCAGCTGGGTTTCACACTGAATGAATTCAAGTGCACGGAGAAAAAACCCCGAGAGATCTACAGGATTTCCTGGTCTGGTCGGTCTTGCGCTGTTTTTTTGTGCGTTTTTTGTTTTGGTGTTTGGGTTTTTGTTGTTTGCTTGTTGGTGGTTTTGGGTTTTTGACCACAGGAAATCTTTAATCTCTTCAGTGGCTGACTTTCGCATTTTCTGCGATGACTGGCGGCAACACTCGTGCAAAAAATGCTCGGATCAAAAGTGGGCTGCTGGTGGTATCAACTCACTTGAAACATACACCAACACACTCTACCAAACCTTCCCCACACTACAGGGATTCCCGTTTTCACTTTCGCCAAGGGCACCCCCTCCCAAACCTATGTATTCAACTTTCGATTTCCACTCTTTCTCAAACGACCGCAATATCAACTTCACTCCTTCCGGCTACTCTTTCTCCTATATACATACATACAGTATAGATATCCTCACGAGGCCTGCCGATGCCCTCGCCCATAGGCCCCCCACAACCATCTTTGCTCACTGATTAGCGACACGCAGCAGGCAAACGCACATAATACACCTCAGGGGTGCCTTTTCACCTCCAAAACGCCCCCGAGCCAGGACGAAAAGACCACCCCCCCAAACCGACGTATTCTACTTTGTGTTTCTACCCCCCATCAGGGTGACTGCAACTTCACCCCATACAAGTAATCTTTGCCTGATGTTCGCCAATCACTTCATCTTGCACGCTCAAGTCGCTGCAATATCGGCTTCGCCACTTGGTCACCAGTTCCAGCTCATCTTTGCTCACAGATTCGCAACACACAGCAGGCAAACGCCCCTCACTTCTTTAAGGATCCCTTTTTCACCTCCAAAACGCTCGACGAAAACAGGAAAGTACTCTTTCCCCGATATTGCCCAATCACCTCATCTTGCACGCCAAGGCTTTGACTCCATCTACACAACGGGTGGGTCGTTTGAGTGATCAGTGCATTCCCGGAGACGTGAAGGAATGCCAAATTCATCAGCTCAGAATAAAGCTAGTCAGAGAGAACTCAGAGTTTTGCCAGTCCAGACCAAGGTGCAGACTTCTTACCCTGGCAGAAGCGGTACATGGACCAGTACCAAATGGAACTAATCTCCGAATCGACAGCGAATTTGACAGGGATAAAAAAAAATAGTGAAGAACGACGGAGTGCATTGGCACGGACAGTCAACTTGCAGATTGTCTAACAACGTTTATGCAGCCAGACTACTTGCTCGGAGTACTGGTCAGCGGTGAGGCAATGATCAGTGGAATCGAGACCTGAGAGCTAGATTTTTCTTTTTTTTCTGGTATGTGAATCTTTCACCAATTGGAATCGTTAAACCCAATGCGTAACCTTTAAATGGACAAAGCACTGCCTAGACGACCACGTGTCAAACCTGTAGATCAAACGGGTGTGATTGTATCCTTTTGTTCGAGCCTTGTACAGCTGCCATGACACGTACTGGAACTTGGGCTTAAGCTGAGGGCCCTTGAGCCAGTGGAGACGAAAAAACAGATAGTGTCGACCTAGTTTCTGACCATGCTGTCTGAAGGTATTGTTAAGCCGGGAGTGTAGATGTTTCACCCTTGTTGTTTCACTGTGTTTCTTAACCCTACACAACATTTGGCAGGCAAAAAATATAATGTACTTGCTTGCAGCTACCCAAAAACTTGCAAAAAAGGGTTGTTACTTGAATTCTGCGTGCAAGCGTTGTTAGCAACAAAACAGTTTTTCCATGTTTTTCCCATTGGTTCTGAAGTTTTGAGACTCTAGACTCTAGACTTTCAATCCAGTGCATTGCCAGCGCATTGGGATCATTTTGGGAATTTTTTTTTGCTGTTATCAACAACTCGTTGGGGTCGAACTCGTGTATGATGCACAGATCGGATGGGGACCTGAAAGGGTTCCTAGTAAACGTTTTCGCTTGTGTTTCGATGCTCGCTGATTGGTGACTTGCAGCTGAAACAATTTTGTTGGCAGTTGTGAGCAATACATCGATGCAAGTGACCGCACGTGCCAATTGAGTTGCGAAGGAAGTGAGGGGCGTTGGAGCGGTAGGTGGAGGGAAACATTCTCTTTGGGTTGTGGGAGTTGTCCGAAATCTGCAGCTTTGGCTGAGCATGATCACCAACAGTCTTTCCGTGCACTTGCCTCAACAAGCAGTCTTTCTGTTTAGCGAATCCCCAGCAAATTTCCGTAGAATATAGCATTTTCTGGTCAATATTTGGATGCAGTACCGAAAGCGGAATACAAACACATCGATTCGTCAAGAAGGTTAAACCATCCCTTGTTATCACATCGTCCACTCTTCTTTTCTGCGACCGCCGTTGACAGCGGTCATTGACATGGTGATTTTGGTTCGGGAGACCGGGTGTTGCCATGGATGTTGGGCGCTTTTCCGAGGGCCGTCGGGGAAGAGCAACGAAGGACACGAGTTACGACTGTGGGGACCTCGTTCAAAAGGCCAAGTTCAAAGGTTGGTCGCAACATAGCAACGTTGCTCGAATGACTTTCATTGCATTCTGAAACAGGTTGCGGGTTGCGTTTTTTCTCGGGGCAACGTTCGAGAGAAGGGACAGAAGTGTCGGAGATTGGTCAACAGTTTTTAATGCAAGGACACCATGCCGTTGTTGTCCAAGAGAGTGCGGAGCTGACGGAACAAACCCAGCCTGTGGAGCCGCTGTTGAGCTTGGAGGTCCCGGGAAGGATTTGGTGTTAATGCATGGCGAAGCAGGTCAATGTGAAGCAAAATGTAAAACCAATACACGACCATACAGATGGATTCGATGTGGTGTGATGGATTTTCGAAAAAAAAAAAAACCTGATTTGTGAGTTAGATGCACCTAAAAAATCTGAGCGACCACGCGACCATGCACAAGTTGCACAAGATCGGATTCCTGTCCAACCTGCCCGGGCTATCCCGGCTGATCGCCAGGCTCGGATCGCCGCGCGGCAGGACGATGCAGAGAGTTTGGAGCTGCTCACAAGTGTGTTGAGGTGTGGTTGGGCAGGGGATGGTGGGATTGGTAGAATCTTGGTTTGATTCCAATTGGGACCACCTTGTTTTTCTTGGACCTCACCCAGATGTGCCGCCTGCGAAAATATCGACCAAGGTCATTCCACACCAGAAGGCGATGCCATCAGATGAAGGTACTGTAAATGATTCCTCACAGGTTTAAAATTCAAGTATTTGCACATGTCCCGTTTTTTCCTGTGTTTTGTTCCGATGTTTCCCCACACCGCCATCGGTGTGTGTCAGGCGCTCCATCCGTGGGCTCGATGAGCAGGGCCGCAGCTTGCTCTTCTACGCGGTGCGTGGAAACCGCGACGACGGAGGAACGACCTGAAGCGGTGCATGGTGCATGCCACGGACACGGACACCTCTTTTTGGGGCCTTTTTTCCGGGGGGATCAGAGACTCCGGGCTCGGCCTCCTGGTCATCTCTCACGGCGGCAGGCAAAGCGCAGGCCTCGGCCGCGGCGGTCGCAAAGAAGCTGCTAGGCGCGGCTGCTCGGCGGTCTTCCGCTCCGAGGTCGTTCAGATGAAGGAGGGTCCTTGCACTCGAGTTTGGATGGATTTGCTGCTGAAATTTGCAAGCCCAGGTGATGCGGCTCAGTGGGATGAAGTGCCCAGATACCTGGTGAAGAGGAGGGGAGTTGGTGGTGGTGGAAGCACTGATTGCTTGGAAGTGGAGGTTTTTTAGTGCGCAGCTTGCCAGTGTGTCCCTGGGAGTTCTACACAGGCTACCAAGTCATGGAGTTGAACGAGCACGTTGTCCAAGTAGGTCCTTCTGGTCCTTCTCGTCGGACACCTCATGACACCTCATGACACCTCATGACACCTCACCTGAGCTGCTGAGGCCCAGTAGAGGAACCCATGACCATGCTGAGTTTTCTTCAGCAGCTTCATCAGTGTACTGGTTTGATGTTTATCCGTGTTGATTGATTTTTAGTGATGTGGTGACGTGTGACTGCAACAATTTTTGTTGCTTCGGTTCATGCATGTTGCTGTGCACATCATAGGTAAAAGACTAACTTGAATACATCCATGAACAATATGTTTTTTCAAAGGGACACACAAACACACGACTTGAGTTTTGGTGGTATCACCAACCGAAGACATGGCTTGGAAGCCCCAAACGAGTGATGCGATGTATTCTAGACATGAAGATCAAAACATGTATGTAGTATCAGTAGCATCCCTTTTTAGCATTGCTGGAGCGCTAGGTTTTGCTTGAGTGACTACCGAATTGAGCTAGTCCCCATACACTTCCGCTCGTTGCTGGGAATGTGGACTTCTTGGCTCCCATTTTCACTCGTAGTTGTGGACGTTCCCTCCTCCCCCCACAACTACTAGCGGTGAACCTTTGTCTCACCGCTGCGCCGATGGTGAGACACCACTTCGATGTGAACTTTCAAGCCCAGAAGACGGGCTTCACCCCTCTGATGGAGGCCCGCCGGTCGACCGGCCGGTCAGTGGAGTCAAGTGGAGTGATGACACCTGATGCGATTCCGGAACGCGGGGGGATGCGGTTTGCTTGGAGTTGTTTTGGTTTGAGTGCTCTCCTTTCTTCTTTGAACATGGTGGAGGATCCTTGTCAACCCCAGAAAAAGTCTGCTACCTTACCACTGGGCCACCGCCACCCGAAGGAAAAGAGCGCACGGTTTTTAAACTCGTGCCCCACGCGCCGCACTGGGCACTCGTGCCCCACGCACCTGTGGCTTTTGCCCACGGTCCCGACGCCCCAGGCCACTCGCTTTGGAAATCTCTTCGGCGTGGAGCTGCTCCTAGAGCTTCGTGCGGATGTGAACCTGCAGAGCGTGCGAGGAGCGCGCGCGCCACACGCGCGTGGCAGGTGTGGTAAGCAGGGGGTGGCACGGTGTGGTGGGACGCGGGAAGGGGCTACGTGGCATAGGGGTTTATGGGGGTTAGAGGGAGTGGAGCCTGGTGGCAAGATTGCAACAGTCCTCAACTGGCTGAAACTTTGTTTGCTAAAGAGTATCGTCCACCCTGCAGGAAAACAGCAGGAAACCCAGAAGCAAAACGAAAGAAACAGGACGACGCAGATAGAAATCACAAACGAAGAGGATAAGATCAAGGCACGCAGCAAAGCACATGGGGTAAAGTCGGTAAATCATACTTTTTAATCCGTCTTTTCCGGACCACCCGCGCGTTGAGAGCGGTAAACAAAGTTTTTTTTCATTTTTGACTGTTTGTTTTTTTTTTTCCGGATTGAGTTGGTATTTTGTTAAACTATAAGTCCAAAAGTGCGTTGCAAAGCTGATTTTGTGTTGACGCCGTTCTTTTTCTCCCGTTTCTTTTAAGGATCCGCACGATCATCCTTTGTTCCGGGTGGCATGGCCATGGTTGTACGACATTTGTATTTTGTTAAAGAAAAACCTGGATGGCTCGGGTGGCAGGGTCTTTTTGGTACGACCTTGCGGTGGAAAACGTCCGCTTCGTGGGGGATGAACCAGTCAGCTTCGTCTCTTGTGAGGAGAGACGGCGCTGGACGTGGCGCGGGGCAAAGTGCTTGAGCACCTCGACTTGAAGGCCCGGAGCGAGCCTCGGAGCGTGGTGCAGGTTCGACATGGATATTTAAGAGGACCCATGTCGAACCGGTTGGGTTTGTCTATTGGTTCGGTTTTTCCCAAGAACTGCGGAGTTTTTGGGGGGTAATGTATTGTTGAGGCCTTCTTTTTTGGAGCCCTGGGTCATGGCCAGCTACTGAAGAGCTACCATGCATCCTCCATGTCCTCAGCTTTCTCGCAGCCGCACCGCTGACAGCATGTGCCATCCGTCCATCAGGAGATGCAGTGCTCGGAGAACCGCCTGGAGATGGTGAAGGAGGGGAGAAAGATGGAGGAGGAGGAGGAGGTTGTAGGAATAGCGATTCCCATCTCAAGCGGACATGAGACATGTTATACAACACGTGTAACATGTTCATCCAGATGAACCTTTCCCAATGAGGACCCATGTCCAGCTTTTTGTTCTTGATTTTTTTGTTGAGGATCGGGTGGAGAGCGACAAGCTGCGGATCGCTGATCTCCTGAGGAACGCGTGAGGAAAACAGGGGCCTTGCCGTTGGGACAGTGGAAGGATTGGCCTGGAAAACACGCAAGCTGCCTAGTCTGGTGAGTGGCAAAACTCTTTGGGCCGTGGAGTCTTTTCTTCTTTTCTCCGGGAACTCACGGATGTAGACTTGGTTTGAAAAGAACAAGGAATCCCATTCAAGAGTCCATTTTCCACCGCTTCACCTGGTTTCGTCCTCACCTTCGTGTTCGATGGTCTCCATGGATGGCGCTACAGGGTGAGTGACACGGGTGAGGTATCTAAAGCTGCTAAGAAACGAAATCCACTTTCTAGGAGTGGCATACCCCATGTGAGCGATACACACTTCAGTTTGTGGAGTTCGAAATCGGCCATTGAAGCACTTCCAACAAGCAAAATTTATGGAACGTGAGAGGACACTGGCACTGGCACGTTGGACACCTCTTTGGACACCTCTTTGTACCACCAAAAGTTCGCCGTTGGAAAGCCCCGGAGCTTGGAGAGTTTGGCTGCACTCCCTGACATGGAAGTGGATGGCACCACCTGTTTGTAGAGGAAAAAGGGCTTCTACGGGGTCATGCCATCCACTTCCATGATTATTTTAGGGAACGTACCTTTTTGTGCAAGAAAACGCGTGCAAGCTTCAGCTTCAGCTGAGCTGGCAGCTAGCCCTTGCTGATCCTCTCAAAGGCACCTGCTGGCAAAAGTGAATAGGCTGTCCTGACTTTGGTTTGTATTTGATTGTTGGAAATGGACGACTGAATTCAGGTGAAATCTTCCTTCCAACCTGTCAACCTGTGTATTTTGATGTCCCGATTCACCACCTAAGACGTACAGTTTGATGCTCGATGTGCTGTGATGTTTTTCAGCACCGACGTATTTCAGACATGTCACGGACAGAAACTGGAGCTGACCTTCAAACAGGTAAAAGAAAAAGGCAAGGTTTCGAATCAGCCCGGATGGTTTCCAGGAATTTGGGGGATTCCACTCCAGCTCGATTGGCACAGGGACCACGGGTTGGGTTTGTAGATTTTGTAGCACCTCGGTCCCAGAAAAGAGAACCTGTGTAGACATCCGTTTTTGGAGAACAGTGCCTCCCAGGTTCCGTAGCACCCAAAGCAGACTTTCTCTCTGCCTTTTTCTCCAAAACCCAACCGCTCGGCGCGCCGTGCATGGCCCCACCTGCCATGGACCTGGCGTTACCGCCATGGACTGGGCGGGTCGTCCAGACGGGGCGCCCCACGTTTGGACACGAGAGTGTGGAGGCCTCGTCTTGTGGAAGCATGTTTGGTGAACGGCTTGATTTTTGAGCCCCAACTCGGATGGCCAGAACGCTGACAAGCGCCATGTGTGTGAAGCCATGTTTGTGGCGAAGAGTGGAGGAAGACCGGAAGATTTGCACCTCAAAGATCGGCGTTACATTGCGCTACATGGTCAACTGCAATGATGCTGATCAAGCAGAGCTAGTCTTGTTTGGAAACGAAACACCAAAGGAAGGGTGCCAACCGAGTGCTTGGTGTTGCCAACCGATGACAGCCGGTAGAAACAAGGTCATTTGATGCTCCCAAGTGGGTTATGACATGTTTTTTCTCCCAGGTGGGGTAAAGTGAGTCATTGGAAGCTCTGGGTTTGCAAAAGTGATTCCACTCGCCCCATCTGACAGATCCCAGCGCCGTGGCACACTCCGGGCGACGCGAACCGTGTGCGGCCCCGGCCGTGGCCTCTGTGGCCCCTGTGGCCTGCAGGCGGGGGATGCGTCACCCGAAGCCTCGAACACAACAGAGGTGCCAGATGATGCCAGAGTTGTTGGGCCATGTCCTGCCGATTTCTGATCTTTCGTCTGGATTTCGTTCTTGGAACGCTCACCCAAAACCCCGCCCTTCCCACCATGGAGCGCGCCCCTTGGTGCGACTGGCGCCCTCAGCTACGTAGGCCTCGCCGCCGCCGCGACCCGCCGAAGGCGGCCGCGCGTGCCTCGGTTAGGTGGCCTTCGGACACCCGAAGCGGGTGAGGATGCCTGGTCTCGAAGTTGTTGAAAGGTATCTTTTTGAGGATCTTTTGAAGATCTGTGATGAGGGAAAGCAGGGTAGTATGAGAGTAGAGGTGAAAGAAGTTTAGAGGGATCTGGATCTGGACGTCACCCAGCAAACCGTGGCAAACCGTGGCATGCCACGTTGGTTCATGAGTCCAGCCAGACTGGTGAAGAGTCCAGCCCCAAGTTCTAGACCGATGACCGAGAACACCCTACTGTTTGGGGTGCAGGATCTTGCCACCCATCAACACCTATCGGACCTATCACCCAGACAGCCCAGACAGGTCAAGTGACTTGAGTCAAGTGGTTGTGGTTTGGAGTTATGACATCGCAGTCTCCCAATCTCCAGCACACCCATCGTTTTGGGGCTTCCAGTTCCGCGGTAGACCCGGTCGATTCTCCCTTGAGCCAATCCATTGATCCTGACGTAGACTGGTGGCCAACCCTCCAAGATGGCGATGAGACTGGTGCCATGAGGTGCTCAGAGCAGCCTCAGCAGCAAGTGCAGGCGCGCAGGCAGTACTGGTGAAGGAGGAGGAAGTGGAGAAGGACTCTGAGCCAGAGGCATCAGATTCGCGGCCAGAAAAGCCCGACGAGCATCAGCTCATCGTTTGGCTGGTGGCGGCTGCGTCTCCTGGAGAAGGATTAATAGAAGAGTTCGTTGGAGTCAATGCAGTGTCTAATTATAGTGTACATTGCACAGATGGGGGACGTGTCACCCATGTTGCAGAGTGGATTGTTTCGGTTTGTTGTGTTTTTGAGTTGATCAACATGCAGTGTCTTTGGCCACCGAATCCCCAGCACTGTCTTTGGGCCCCACCACTGAAACTCGGCATGGTGGGGCAAAGCGTCTTTTGGTCCTTCTCCTTGTCGCGTCGAATCTCTTCATCCTTCGGATGCTGAAGAGCTGAGCTCCATCACTTGGTAGCCTGGTAGACTCGACCTCGTTGTTGAGGTATGTGATTTGGCAGATGGACAAGGTGAACATGTCGGTGGCCATCCTACCGATGGCCTCGGACTTCTCCTGGGACAGTGGGGAGCAGGGCTTGATCCAAAGCTCCATTTTCTGGGGCTATGCGGCAACACAAGTGGTTGGCGGCCTACTCTCCACCCGCTTCGGTGCCTTTGGTTGGGATATCAGAGGAGGAATGTGGAGGAGTCCAGGGATGGTCGAGATGAGACATGTGCACGGTTTTGGGAGATTGTGAAGAACATGGGAAGGAAGTACAGCTTCTATCCCTCAACAGCTCATAGACCACCAACATGCCTGGGGCGGCTGTTTCGTATCACACTGGCCGTCATTGCCCCGCAAAACACGAGTTCGAATTATGCCTTGCTTGCCTTTAAGCCCTTTCACCTCCACTTACTTGCACTATTTTCGTCCAGAACCTCCTGAATTAAGCCTTTTCGGCTGCAAGACAAGAGGAGTCCCACCTCAAGCCAAAAGGTTTTCACTGATTTTTTCGAAAGCACCCAGCCTTTTATGCCATAGCCATCTAACCCAGTGCAGAATTCACTGGAGAGATTGGGCAGCGGGTCCTGCTGTCTCAGGTGGCAAACGGGTCCTTCTCTTTGCGGTGACCTTATGGTCTTGCGCTACCATGCTGGCTCCCTTCGCGGCCTCACTGGGCACTGAGGCCGAGAGGGCGCACGTCGTCGGTCGGTGCACATGGACCAGTTGCGCCGAAGTTTCGACGATGTGATGCGAACGGAAACACGAAATCAATTTATTAAGTAATGGTTTATTAATGTTTATTAACCAATGTTCCAAATGTCAACAGATTTCATAGCATGGTCCCCCCGCATCATCCTCGGACCAATCGCAGTGCTTGTTGTGGACCAAATGCCACAGGCCAATCCAGGACCTTCGTTCCACCCCGCCGGCCAAGGGGGTTCTTCACCACCCTCGTCTGCCTTCGTAGGCCTTCGTGCTCTCGCGCGCGCTCGTGGGCATCGGCGAGGGCCTGGCGCCGGCCGCGGGCCTGCGAATGGTGGCCACGTGGGTCCCGGAGGCGGAGCGCTCGCGGGCGGTGAGCACGCTGGGCGCGGGGAAGACCGGGGGTTCGATCCTGGGACTGCTGCTGGCGCCGGTGGTGATTGGCAGCTTGGGCTGGCAGGTGGGGTGGAAGAAACAGGGGGGAAGGGAGGGTGAGAGAGAGGTAGAAAGTTGATGAAGGAGTTGAGAGGAGGCTGAGAAGGATGAGCTCGAATCATGGAGCCTTTCTGGGGATTGCCACAAAACCGGGGGTTGATCGCGGCAACATGTGTGACATTGTTTGAATCATTTTCATCCTTTGGGACAGTTCGCTTGACTCTGGCCATTTGCTGCAGTCCATGTTCTATACCTTTGGTGTGCTGGGGCTCTTCTGGGCGGCTGTATGGCTCCTGAAGGGTGAGGATAAGCCCGGCAGTGTGGGCGAAGGCACGGAGGAGATCCCATGGTGGCCGATCTTATCGACTCCGCAGCTCTGGGGCGTGGTGGTGGCGCACTTCTGCCACGACTTCGGCGGCTACGCGCTGCTGACCTGGACGCCCACCTATTTGAACAAGGAGAAGGGGAAACCGATGAAAAACATACACTCCCTGAAAGAATCGTAGGCCAACGTGGATTGCATGGCCCCGAACGGATGACCATTTTTCGATCACGAAGCAGGTGGTGCCATCTTCCATGTTTAAACGACTTGGAGAGTAGAGTAGAGTCTTGATAAACAAAACCAATCAAGAGTCTGAACACCGTCATTCGCACAGAGATGAGGCATGCCTAGTAGTAGTAGTAGTAGTAGTAGTAGTAGTAGTAGTAGTAGTAGTAGTAGTAGTAGTAGTAGTAGTAGTAGTAGTAGGAGTAGTAGTAGGAGTAGTCGTAGTCGTAGTCGTAGTCGTAGTCGTAGTCGTAGTCGTAGTCGTCGGTACATTCTTTTTGGGCATGCCTGATGTGTACTCCCGGAGGGATCGGTTTTGAGTCTAGAGTCTCATGATGTCTCATGGACACACCTGCCTCCCTCGACTCTTCTTTTTTCGTTTTGGAGATCGTTCCTTCTTTTTCATGCCGCCTCTGAAGAAACTCCACTTTTCGTGACTCCCAATTAGAAGTCTTTGCCGCACCAGCTCAGCAATCTCCTCCGTGGAGAAGAAACCATTGCGGCATCACGCGCGTCTGGTATTTGACGACACCGGTTTACCGATTGACACCGGTTTACACCGGTTTACCGACTGCGCGCAGCATAGGAGAGGTCCATGGCAACAAGGGTTCGGCCCGTCCAAGGTCCAAGATCAATTAGTTTTGCTTTTACTCTGGTCGTCTAGTATTGTGTCAAGGCCTATGTTCACATCCCATTTCCACCCCCATGTCCATTCAAGCCAATGGTTCCTCAAGATCGTCAATAGTCGGGGTCGTTGTTTTTGCAACCTCGTCGGTCTGTAGTCTTTTGAAGGGTTGTCGGCCATTACGCCGTATAACAAAGACAAACGACACTCAGAGATACTTATATATAGCTAAAGCTGTTGTACACAGATGAGAAACGATGCCCTCTTGATGGCAGCCTTCCCAGAACATCACATGATTTCGCTTTCGAAGACATGATAGAACGACTACACACCGCAAATCGTAAACATCTCTAAACCCAGCAAACCTGTAAAACCCCGGAGCCCAAATCCTCCTAGCTGCGCCCGATGAGATGAAAGGTAGTCTCTTCTGTTCCAGACTCGGTCGTTTCCACCCTGGTTTCCCCCGGGTGCCATGCCCAAGCCTTTGCCATCTCACCACACGAAAGGTAGGACCCGACCCACCACCTACCCACCAGACCCGAAACGGTCCTTGTGCACCAGGCCTTGGGGTACAACCTGGTCGGCAGCTCGGAGCTCACGGTGATCCCCAGCGTCTGCGCCGTGGCCGTGGCCGCGGCGGCGGGCACGGCCGCCGACCAGCTGCACCAGGACGGGATGGCGCTCACCACCGTGCGCAAGGCCGCCGGCGGGGGACCTGTGGGTGGGACTCTGAACGTGTGGAGGTTGGTGTGGCGCGTGAAGTCTTGGGGGCGCTGTCATAGTCTTTCTGTTTTCCTTTTTCGAGGTTGGCTCGGTTCGTGTGCTTGTTCTCACCTGAGACTCTCTGAAGAACACATCCCGGTCCTCATCCATCGCTTCGACCTGGTGCTTCTTTTGCCGCGCGCGAGTTCACGAAGCCCGGGGAACCCGGCTTGACAGGTCTTCCAGTCGGTGGGCTTCTTCGTGCCCTGTTTGATGCTGGGACTCTTGGCCTCGATGCAGGAGATCGAGCCGGGTTCTTTGATGCCCATCTTGTTGCTGACGGTCGGCATCGCCTCAGGTGGGAGCCTTCGGAAGCGAAGAAGGGCTCAAAAAAGCCATAGAGCGTGGGAGGTTGGGTTGGAGAAAGAAAAGCGGGTAACAAATAGGTTGCTTCTTGTTCTTTTTGGATGGTGGGTGGGAGGCGGTATTTTGTGACCTTGAGCCTTGGAGTGTCAAGAACTTTCAGGTCATGTAAAGTTACTTCACCTCCACGACAGACCTGAGCTTTTTGAGAAGCTCTACCTCCTGGAATGGTGGCAGGGTGCCAGGGTGCTTGCTGTTTTTACCTGGCACCGTCCGATCCAGGTGCCTGCTCCTACGCGGGTCTCTACTCCAGCCATGCTGATCTGAGTGCCAAGTACAGCGGCATCGTGAATGGCATCTCTACGACCTTTGGTGCGTTGGCTGGGGTTTGCAGCAACGCCTATGTTGGCTATGCTTTGAAGGCAGGAAGAGGGTTTCCAAACATTTTTGCTTGCCAGGGTCAGATGGCTGCAGTTTCAGACAGTTCTGCAGAGATCTGCAGAGCAGCTTTTCATAGCTTTTCGGGGTCGCTGTGCACGCGACAAAAACGAACTTTTAGACCATGGCCATGGCGCCAGTCCCAGAGCCCCTGAGTCTTTCAGGCCACGGATAGCTGGGCGCTCTCGCTCTTCGTGCCGTCGATTTGTCGCTTGGGATGGAGCGAAGTCTTCGGGTGCCCGCCGGGCGCGGAAGTCTTGGTGCTTTTGGTGCTGGGGCACCTGAACCTAAGGGGCTCCAGGCTGTGTTTTTTTTTTCAAGCTTGGGTACCCTTGACATCTTTTGAGCTCTCGTTCTTTGTTGGGATCTCAGGGCGCGAGGTTTGTTTGGAAGGACGGAGAGGACGGGATCCGAAGTGTCCCAGAGGCTCTCTCAGGGGCCGAAGGACGGGATCCGGGAGCCTCGAAACAGAATACGGGTCGAAAACGGGGCCCAGGTCATGTAGACTGTTGATGAATGCACACTCCCCCTTTCTAAATTTTCAGCATTTATCGAACTATTGTCACTCAACTTCTATGTCTTTCCGTTCAACGAGACGTGAAAGCGACGACACCAAGTCGGGGGGTTCAGATCGTGTGGTCTAAGACCACGACACCGAACTGACACGTCCTTGTGCAGTGCTCAGGTTTGTATCTGGTGGGCTGGGCAGTCTATGTCTGGCTCTATGACGCAACACCCATCGACTGGGACCAGGTGAAGGAAGAAGCAGAGCCTTCGTGAGGGGCAAGCCGTTTCGACCCTTTGAACTGGTCAAGTCGCTTTTCAGCACACTCATTCATGACCTGTTTTGGATGCCCTTCAGTAAGCCGAAAGGCCTGTTTCCCTCTTGACGAGTTCACGAAGCAGAGTCCAGCAGAGTGCTTTTGACACGCCTGAACTCACAGCCCTCACCTCGATTTTCCAGCCGAATCAGGTTGGCCCTCAACGACCAACGGAGTCCATCAAGGGACTTCAACATAGTTTTGTGTCGAAAATAGAGAGACCTCCCAGGCAATGACCCAGGCAAGGAAGAAGACACATAGACCAGTCTATGCAATGACCTCCTGGAAGATGATCTCCCTTGTTAAAACAGACATCGATTTGTGGCCACAAAGGGCAGTGGCTTCGGAGACAGTCAGGCGGCTTTCTTCACATCGGAACCTCCAGAGCAGAGCAGGTGTGTTCACACCGTTGTCTTACGTGTGGCTTTGGGCTCGAGAAGCGATTTAGATCACTGATATCTCACCAGATCAATAACACCTCTTTATGCACCTGCCCTCTCCAGAGGTTTTCCAACACAGCTTCATCCACTTCTCTCCTCTGCAGAGAGGATCGGATCTCGGCCTCCGCAATTCGGAGCATCTGGGGGACTGGGCCACGCCGAGATCCGTCCGAGCAAAACTATGCTTCGATCCCCAGATCCCAAGCCTCCTGAGATCAGCCTTGGAAGCCTTCGAGGGGCGGAAGTCGCCCACGCGGGGGCTAGGATGGCCTTGCCATTGCGGGCCATGCTCCGGGCTAAGGTGGCAGACTCGGGAGAGAACTGGATGGGAACACCACAATTCAAGATCTGAACCGACCATTCCGAATGAGTTTGGGTTTTGGTATGGTGCTACAGTAGCTACCTACTCATGCGGCACCTGACGGCCGGACTTCACGTTGCACCGGGACGCCCGGCTCCGCCGGGTGCCAGGCCAACTGGAGAACGGGGCCGTGGAGGATGTGTCGGTGCGAGGCCTTTGATGGGCGAAGGATGAAGGGACTAGTGGGTGGTTGGGGGAGTATAGCCTGTGGTGATTGAGTGGGGGGGTCAATCCTGTATGTGGTTCCCGGGAGAGGAGCTTACTTCGAGTTTGGAGTGTTTTTTGCATACCCTACTTCGCTTCGACATGCATCGTTTCAGCCAAAGCCGTGGGACCTCTCGAGGCTCTTTCTCGAAGCCTGGCTTTGGCACCTCGAAGCGTCTCCAGGCAGGGGACAGCGAACCGGCCGCAGCTTCTTCCAGGGGATCGAACGAACCCTCAGACGCGAACCCTGATGCGGAAGAGATCGAACCCTCTGGACTTGAGTCTTTCTGTGTTGATCCAGCAAAATGTCTTCGAAGAAGTTAGGGTCGAAGCGGGCTTCTGGTTCTGATCTTCATTCTCTTCACGACTGCCCATCGCCCCAAGCCTTGCGGCGACCAAGCCCTCGCGGTCTGCCGCAGTCGTTGCTACAGCGGCCCAAGCAAGCCAGAGGCGCGAGCCGGCAGGGCCGAAACAGGCGCTTTTTGTTTGAATCACTGTATACCAGGACCTTCCAACAGGTGGTTTTAGAAGCCTAACAGGTGGTTTCTGGGCACCTGTTGTCACCAGGAAACAGCTGTTGGAGGGTGCTGGTAGGGAATCTTAAATAATGCATGGATCTATGCCGAGGTGTCTTGGGGCCCCTGATCCAGATTGGTTGGGAATGACCCCAATTCCCCACTCATTTTGGGAAGCATGTAGAAAAATAGAGAGACCTCCCAGGCAACGACGCCCTGGACAATAGACCTGTCTATACCCAAAGACTCCAGGGTGTCTCCGTAATTCGAAAGTCACACCTGGAGTCAGCCCTTCGAATCCTCTCGACGCCAAGCTTTGAAGCCGAGGCCACGCGAACCGACGAGGGCTCCAAGCTTCCGCGGCTTCGACCCTCGTGTCACGTGCCGAGTGGTGCGAGCCCAGGCGGGTTGGGATGGTGTCGGTGTTGCGACGTGAAGAAAGTAACGGGGGAGACGGAGGCGGTTGGTGTCCCCAAGCACAGCGAGATGTTGGAGAGGTGGAGGCCATTTCCAGGTGGTGTAAATGAAACAACTTCTTAAAGGTACACAGACAACGCTGTGGGTCCAACATGGCTCCTTATTTGTGGGTCCAACGATGAGATGTGAGGCCATAGGTTCGGCGAGTGGGGTGGATCGGAGAGGGGGAACTGAGCATTGGACACACCCAAGATCCCATGGAATATGACCACTCCAAACCAACAGGCATTGTTGTTCTTTAAGACTCCCCCTATCAAGAGGTCTGTTCAGTTTTTTCATCACCACCCAATAATCATCGGTGTTGGTTTACCTTCGAACCGTTGAACGGTCGCGCACCGATCGACGGGACGTTGCTCCGTCGGCCGAGTAGCTCCTACTACTCGCCCTACTCGGCGTTGTGAAAGCTCCGAGGACTCGGAGCGATCCTGGAAACGAAACGAACCACTTGGATCCGGAGCGAGGTCACGAAAGCTAGCAGCAGCTAGCTGGAGTTGTCCTTGCTTTAGCAAGTGAGGGGCTGGAATCCTCGAGATCGCTCTGGATGCCGGAGCGAGGTCTGACATGCGCTGGCTGTTGGGACTCGTCAAAACGCTGGCTGTTGGGACTCGAGCGACGACCGCAGACCGAGTCGACTGCGGGGAAACACCTGCAGACCCTTTCGATCGGACCGATGCCCCTTTTGCTTCGCAGGCCACCGGAAGAAGGACCCGGGCGCGGCGCATCTGAAGACCCCCGCCGGGGGCGGCCATCCAAGCGTCATCGCGTCATCGCGTCGGGTGGGGACGTGGGGACCGATGCGTTTTGCGTTGCGGAGCGATGAGAAAACACCAGTGGCTGTGGGTGAACCTTCGGAGCCCAACTTGACTTGACGGGTTGACCTCCCTCCACGTTTCGACCCCCGCATGTCATGCAACTTGCTGATGCGAAACAACGTCTCGTTGTACGTTGTTTCGCCCGAACTTCCGGCCCAAGGCTGTGCAAGCTAGGAAGTGACCTGCAGCACAGACCACGGCCGACGGCCGATTCGCTTGCGGGTTTGGGGTGTGTTTGAGCTTTCATGGCAGCGGATCTTGTCGAGCTGCCATCCATCTTGCGCCCAAGGTGCAACAAGAAGCTTGGATTTATAAAGGCTTTCTTTTTGTGACCATCTCATCTCAGTGGTTTTGTTGGTCGTCCCTTTCAGTCACCGTGTTTCGACCTCAGGAACCTGATCCGTCCCAAGAAGAGTGTGTCCTTTGAAGTGGGCGTGAAGAGTGAGGTGGAGCCTGTCCAGAAGGTTCCAACGACTTTGTGGTGGAAGGATGACAGCTTTCTGCAGCGGTTCTTGTGCCAGACCGGCTTGGCAGCGGAACGGCCCGAACAGTCCGGCAAGTCGAGGTTCCTGTACCCGTCCGAAACAATGCAAGGAGATCCGGAGTTAGCATGCGGCCTCTGGAACCACTTCGATGTATTTTGAAGATCTTCCGGCTTCCGGTTCAGGCCGCAGCCTGCTGTTAGCACCCTACAGGGCACGACAGGGTGCTGCGGTGCATCAGATGATGAGATGTAGTGATAACCCTTGCAACTTCTGCACTAAAAGACACGGGGGCTGTAGAAGTGGACGGCAGCTCTAAGAGCGTGCCAACACTCAAGAGTTGCCGCTTGATTTGACTGCATAGTGTCTGAAAGATTGTATTAATCGTGGATAGGCTAACACGCCTTTTATCCCATAGACTCATAGACATAGATTCATGACTGCTGCAAAAACGGAAAAGAGCCGACCAGCAGCTGATGCTTGAATGAAGAGGAGATGATTCACACCCCAAAAGAGGTGTTGCCTGGCCTCAACGGCGTTGTCCATCACTCCCACTTCTGTCCGATGCACCAGCACAGTGCTCCGGTGTACCGGCAGGATGCCCCGATAGAGCCTCTGATGGCGGATGCCAGGGAGGCCTAGCGCGGGCGGAGGAGGCCTCCCGTGGTGTCCACCGAACGGGTTCCCCGGCGTCAGGGGGGGGGGCTCTGAGGCTCGGATCTTCCTCATCGCGGGGGCGCTGCTCTGCTTCGGGGGGAGCCTCTACTCCGTCTATGTGCCTTGGTAGGTCAAGTGGTGAAAGGGCGTGGTGCAGGGGGGAGTGTAGTTTGGCACATGTTGCTTGGGTTTTCAAACTTGTAGAAGATTGTATAAGTGTGAAACCCGCAGAGCTTGGGCGAGGAAACACTGCACGCTGCGTTCTCTCACGGGTGGGATGGAGGAAGCTCCACGGCGCAGATCTGCGTGCAGCTTTGGCAGGGGGTATTGGATGTTTTTGTCCATGTCAATTCATGTCACACCTCCAAAAGGCGGCAATCTTCTTCAAAGCTGACCTTCAGTTCTGGGAATTCAAAGGGTTTTTGTGAGCTGAAGCACTAGCAGCTAGCAGCCACCGAGTTGATCTTTCTTCGGCACCTGAGGTGGCCGTGACTCACGACCCCAACCGCAAAGAGGATCGGCCAATCCTGAAGCGAGGGGAATACATAGGTGGTGCCAGCATCGTTGGGAGCCTGAGGACGTCGGTGGCGGGTTCTATGGGGTGGTTGAGTTGCTTGTTTATGGGAGAGTCTCCTTGTTATATACATGACATGGCTCTGCCCAAAAGTGGGCCGGGGTAGGAGCTCCTTTACAGACAGGAACATGTTCTTTATACACCCTGCCTGAAATCATCATGGAAAGTGGATGGCATGGCCCCGAACGAATGACCCTCTTCCTCCACAAACGGCCGGTGCCATCTACTTCCATGATTCTTTCCATTTCAGAGGGTGTATATAGATGCTCCCAATGTGGTTTTGGTCGCCCCGGCGAGTTGAACATCCACTCAGTGATCCACCCGAACCCGAACCTCCGCCACCTCGAGTGAGCTCCGGGAGCTGTGTTCTCGGTCGGCTCCGGCTTGGGTCGTGAGGGTTCTGGGTCGTGTGAGGTTGGCGCCCTGGTGATGACCTACGTGATCTTGAGAAGATGAGAGCGGAGATTCGCATCGCGTGACCAGCGGAGAAGAGCCAGCCCTGGAGATGGGGGTGGATTCGTGCCCGTGGAGCGAAAACGACGGGTTGAGCACGAAGCGCGAAGGAGGTAGGATGAGATTGAAGGAACCCTTGAAGGTTTCAGGCTGCTTTCCTTTTACCAGTGGGTGACCATCAACTTTGGTGTCGGTGTGTAGCTGCCAGGATGAGCGATCGTGATCAACTGATCGTTTTTCTCGGCGGTGCAGGGGTTGCCCAGAGGCGAGTCCAAATTGTGCGCTGGGAGAAAAAGAGAGATGAGCGGGAGTGGAATACTTGATGGAATATCTCGCGAGTCGGGGACGGCAAGGCTGCCGCGGCGATGATGGCGACTGTTATTACGAGGAGGATGACGACGACTACTCCAACCAGTGCTACTGCTACTCCTGCGACTACTGCCACTACTGCTTCTACTGCTGCTACTACTGCTACAACAACAACAACAACTGCTGCTGCTGCTGCTGCTGCTTGCTACTGGCTGCTGGCTACTGGCTACTGGCTACTGGCCACTGGCTACTGGTACTACTACTACTACTACTATTACTACTACTACTACTACTACTACTACTACTCCTCCTCCTCCTCCTGCTGCTGCTGCTGCTGCTGCTGCTGCTGCTGCTGCTGGCTACTGGCTACTGGCTACTGGCTACTAGATACTAAAACTACTACATACTACTACATACTACTACTTACTCCTACTCCTACTCCTACTCCTACTACTACTACAACTACTACTACTACTACTCCTACTACTACTACTACTACTACTACTACTACGACTACGACTACGACTACGACTACGACTACGACTACTACTACTACTACTACTACTACTACTACTAGTACTATCGGATTGTGTGCTAGTACAGTAGTGTTTGCTCTAGTACTTTCGTTTAGCGGAGACGTTGCAAGACCCGCGAGGGAGGTCTCAGGAGCCTTCTGACCTGAAGTCAGATATCAGTTTTCAGCTGATGCAAGCTAGGGGATAGCCCAGCTCTGCAAAGAAACCCTGCATACTAATGAAGGACTTTGATTTGTTGGTGTATCAGAAGAGGGGCAAAGCACATGTGCATACCTAGCTCAAAAACACACGTCATGATGTATCTGAAGATCCTAAGCTGGTAGCAGAAAGGTCCATCAGTTCACTGAATGGATCCGTGCTCTCCGTGTATGGCTGGTGCGCTTCCGATGGCTGGCACGGGACCCCAGAATGTCCCGTGGGCCACCCCACGATCCAGCCAAGGACCCTATAAGATTCGACCCTGACAGACAGTTCCTGGACCAACCCCTGCAGTGAAGATGCCCCAAGACGCACCACAGCCCCACAGCAAGGCTTTTTGAATTTCTGCTTAGAAGGTTGTTTTTGGGTTTACCTTTCTGCCACATGATTGTCGGTGAACAGTTTATTGGAGTACAGTACATTTAAAAAACATGTGTAAAGGGCCTTAAAGGGCATTCAAATTCTTTGCTGGGTGGTGCTTTGTATGGGGACCTCAGAAAGGGCTTGATCGGTTGATCTTCCATTGGTGAAAACGGTGCCAGGGCGCCGCTCAACAGTCATGAGCACTCCGCCCAGGTCCACCATCGCCGCGGTGCTTCGAAGGTCCTCGATGAGCAAAGTTGAGGCGAAAACGGCCAGACGATCGGGGCGGGCGGACTTGGGCTCGGGCGACGGCGGGTCTTTCCCCCGCTCCACGTGAAACGCGTCGGTGGTGCTTTGGTGGACCCGAAATCAGTGTTTCCACTTTGGTTTCCTCCACAGTGCTATGAAGCCGGTGGATTTTCAAGAAGGATCATTTGCACTGGCCATTGACCGTAGTGCTACAGAGTGCCAAAGATCAAGTCACTACTGCTTGACCATTTGCAGATCTGGTAGAGCCAGGGATGGTGGGGCAGCCAGGGGGTTGGGGGATGTCGGGGATGCCGACTTGAAATCCCCACTGGCTAAGCTCAGCCACTTGGAGAGGAATCTCTTTCGGTGGTTGGGCTTCCGGAAAGGTCGCAGGAAGGCGCCTCCTTCGATTGACCGTGGTGCTGGGGGGACTCCCCTAGGTGCTCAGTGGCGACCTCCTATGGTGGCGGCCTTCTCTGCCGGGTCATCGGTGCAGGACTTCGGTGGTGAGTGGTTTCAATGGTCGGGTGGGAGTGGCTTCAACCGGTGGTTTGACCAAACCCCAGAAATGAGAGGAGTGGTGAGTGGTTTCCAAGGATGCTGGCTTTCAAAACTGTTTCTTTTGGAGGTTTCAGGATGTTAATGTTACAGGTTTTCCTAGGTCGTGGATAATAGAGTGGAGTTGGAGTAAGCATGCCACCCCGACCCCCTCACACCCTAGAATTTTTTAGAGTAGGTCCAACTTGGATGAATATATCGTTGCAGATGAGATGAAACTGTGCTGAGGAGCAGTTTCCATGGTCAGCCGGGCTATGAGCACGGCTGGGAAGGTGGAAGCTGGAGCAACCACAGCCACCATGGAGATGGTCACCACGGCCGCCATGAGCCCCATGGACATCATGGCCATGGCCACCAAGGTGGCCACCAAGGTGGCTACCACGGTGACTACCAGGGTGGCTACCACGGTGACTACCAGGGTGGCTACCACGGTGGCTACCAGGATGGCTACCAGGGTG